TGAAAGAAAAAGCACCTCTCATGGGTATACATAACAAGATTCCAACAAAATATTAGTAACCTAATAACACAAATGAAGAAAAAAACATACGAAAAGAATTACTTACATTAAAACGACTGTATGTGTAGAAGTAACGAGCCGCTGTGTCCGGATGTCTCGATTGAAACACGTCGGCCGGACGACCACAGTCACAGTTAAGGATAGGAAGGTCAGGAGGGATGGGGACATCTTTGCTAGACGCGTCGGGGTACAATTCTCTAGGACGACCCCATTTTCGCCACAACTGCTCTCGATACATGTCCTGCATCTAATAAAACTGGTTGTAATTTAACGTCAATTAAAACATCGCAAATTAATGTAAAAGGAGAACCATTTGCATTACAACTAAAATAATACCTCACACTAAACATGGTAACATGCTTCTACCACGATCCACAATATTGCAGGAGTCCTCACCGAGAGAGAGGAGGAGGGAGGCTCATGGCAGCATTACATCGGGTCCCGCTGCGCGTCATGGGCGATAAGCGCGGCATTGGCGGCGCCATATCATAAGACGACAAAGACTCGCCACTTCACCGGTCGGGGCTGTGCCCTGCCAAGATGCATGGCGCGACAGTGTTGTTTGGTCACGCCGTGGCAATAGACGCGGCCAAAAGTGTTAGATTTGAAAATAAAAAAAAACAGTCAACATGTTCGCTTGTTGGTTTCAGTCAGCCCAAACCAACCAGCCAACAGTGTTTTTCTCTTACAATAAACCAGCACTAGTTAGCCCAAACCAGTAGAAATAGTTTAAAAAAAATGTGAAAAATAAAAAAAAATCACCATCGCTGTCTCTTATCCCTTCTGCACCAAACCTGCAAGGAGTATTTTGTACTGATCCGTCACGGCTTCCATGAGGGTCCAGCGAGGTGGATGGAGGTCGCGTGACCGACTGACCGTTGCCGGCGACGCCAGCCCAAACCCACCAGGTCCCCACTCCCCAGCCGTCCAGGCTGCAGACTGTTTAGTTGGCTGGTTTGTTTTTGTTGCTGGTTTGTGAAAAAGTAATGTTAGTTGATTTATGTGAGAGAAAAATACTGTTTTATCTAAAAATTTAAGATCGTTTACGATAAGCCGTCAAATGAATGGGCTGACGTGTCCCTGAGTATATAGCCGCCGTGCCCGCATATGTGGTAGCCCAACACAACAGAAGTCAAGTCCGAGCCCGTAGGTCGGTAGGTGTCGACACCGCGCCGCGCGCCGCGAGGGTGGGGGACGGGAACTGGGGACCATGAGCGCGGCCGGGCGAGCCCCGTGCGGCCTGCCGCGCATCGGCCTGGGCACGGCGGTGCAGGGCCCGCGGCCGGACCCCGTCCGCGCCGCGGTGCTCCGCGCCATCCAGCTCGGCTACCGCCACTTCGACACGGCCGCGCACTACGCCACCGAGGCGCCCATCGGGGAGGCCGCCGCCGAGGCCGTGCGGACGGGCTCCGTCGCCTCCCGCGAGGAGCTCTTCATCACGTCCAAGGTCTGGTGCGCCGACGCGCACCCGGACAGGGTGCTCCCGGCCCTCCGCCGGACGCTCAGGTGCGTGCGCTGGTTCCTCTTCCTTACTCTGCCGCGGCTTGGGTTTCGCTGCCGCGATTGCTTGCGTCTGAGATTTACATGCTCTTTGATTCGTGCACGGATGGACATGGATCGTGGATGGTATGCTTGGTTTGATTCAGATTTGGGATAGGAAGTGGGACTCTGTTTCAAGTTTAGACGTTGTCCTCGATAACTCGTTTACACTAAACTAGCACTCCTACACTACATCATACACTAGTACACTACATCATACGCGACAGTCCTTTATTTATCATAGGGACAAGACGGGGATACTATTTTTTGGGAAGTGTAGTTGGTGATTTTTAAGTGTAGTTAGTGATTAGTACTCCCAAAAATTTGTAAGGAAAATACTACTAGTATAATACATACTCCCAGTTCAAATTAAGGTTCTAGTGTCGATGTGTACTTTCAGGCTTTCAGCACACAACACAGAATCAAATTAGTCGGCTGCCTGACATGAATCTCTACTGGTTGTAGTTGGTAGTGGCTCCTTTGCTTGCTGCTTTTAGCGCCTTCCTGCTTAAACTGTAGTACTATGTTAGCAGTAACCCAAGAATTGATTTCAGTACAGTTGGGTGGAACAGTTAGATTGTAAACGTGTCTGCCAGCCTATATTGTGATACTCGATGGTGCAGCAGCATCGGCTAATTGCGCCAAAATAAAATTTGGAGGATCTGACATTCTGACGGAGGTCGCAACCATCAATAATAGTTACATCATGGGCTAATTGCGCCAAACTGCAACCATCCATATGCAGCAATCTCCAGATGGAGTACGTGGACCTGTACATGGTCCACTGGCCCGTGACCATGAAGGCCGGGAGGTTCACGGCCCCCTTCACGCCCGAGGACTTCGAGCCGTTCGACATGCGGGCCGTGTGGGAGGCCATGGAGGAGTGCCACCGCCTGGGCCTCGCCAAGGCCATCGGCGTCTGCAACTTCTCCTGCAAGAAGCTCGAGACCCTGCTCTCCTTCGCCACCATCCCTCCCCTTGTCAATCAGGTCCGCCTGGTCCTCCACTTACTTTCAGCCAACTCTCTCGCCATCTATTTTCGTTGTAAATTAAACATGGATCGATGGAGACCATTGGCAAGTTTATCTTTGGGGTAATAATATATAAATATATAACGCAGGTTGAGATCAACCCATTGTGGCAGCAGCATATGCTGAGGGAGTTCTGCAGGGAGAAGGGCATCCAGCTATGTGCCTACTCGCCCCTGGGCGCCAAGGGCACGCACTGGGGCAGCGACTCGGTGATGGACTCCGGTGTCCTGCACGAGATCGCCAAGTCCAAGGGCAAAACCGTGGCACAGGCACGCATATATAGCATCCTCTCGCCAACCTAATATGTACGCACTGAAAGAAGAGACTTTTTCCTGTGCGCCATTATAAAAGATCGCAATCCCTTGTGTGTCTCTGGAAAAATTCAGCGGTCTTCAGCGCTACTACTCCAACTTTTTCGGGTCCTCCATGCCACTTCCGTCAGTTTAGGCTCTAACGCCGTCAAACAGCAGGTGTGAAAAGACGAAAATGCCCTTAAGTTCAAATATGTTATTATTATTTTTAGCATCTTAACGAATTCAAATGAAAAAACTCAAAACTAGAAAGTTGTAGATCTCGTCGAGATCTATAATTTTCATATAAAAATTATTTTCATTTAATTTCGTAAAAAAAATATGATTTGATATGATTAATATATCTTAGAAAAAGCATCATATTTTTTTTGCGAAATTAAATGAAAATAAATTTTATACGAAAATTATAGATCTCGACGAGATCTACAACTTTCTAGTTTTGAGTTTTTTCATTTAAAGTCGTTAAGATGCTCAAAAAAAATTAATAACATATTTGAACTTAAGGGCATTTTCGTCTTTTCACACCTGCGGTTTGACGGTGTTAAAGCCTGAACTGACGGAAGTGGCATGGAGGACCCAAAAAAGTTAAAGTAGTGGCGTTGAAGACCGCTGAATTTTTCTAAGGGCACACAAGAAATTACGATCTTTTATAATGGCACACGGAAAAAAAATCTCCTGAAAGAAATGCCTGCCCCGGACACTCTCTAACTGATGCTTGCGCGATGGATGGATGGATGGATGGATGCAAACAGGTGTGCCTGAGGTGGGTGTACGAGCAGGGCGATTGCCTGATCGTGAAGAGCTTCGACGAGGGGCGGATGAAGGAGAACCTGGACATCGTGGACTGGGAGCTGACGGAGGAGGAGAGGCAGCGCATCAGCAAGATCCCCCAGCGGAAGATCAACCAGGGCCGCCGCTACGTCTCCGACCAGGGGCCGTACAAGTCCCTCGAGGAGCTCTGGGACGGCGAGATATAAAGTAAACGTCCGCCCTGCCAGGCTGCCGCCATGCATGACGGATCGATCGACAAGCTCCCCGTCGTGACAAGGAGTGGCTCGTTCGTGCTCAACAATGGTTCTTTTTATGTTGTTTCCATCTGCGACAAAAATGATGATGCTTTAGTGTGCAGCTGTGCGTGAAATAAATTAAAGGATTTACCGGTTAGTATAATCACCGTGATATTTATGGTACCGATCCGACGGAGATGCTGGATTATGTACGTGTACGTCCTTGCGCGGCAGAAGCGACGAGTGCATCAGACCTAGGCGCCAGCAAAACCGACCGAAGTAGCAATAGCTAAGCACAAGGCACACGAAAACCGCGACCATTTGCGCGCATGGCACCTAGCGCCAGCATAATTAAACCGACCGAACTAGCAATAGCTAGCATAAGGCCGGCACACGAAAACATGTAGTTGTCCCTCTCGAAGAACCGAATGTAGAAGAAGTACACGCGGCATTTCGAACAAGGCAACAACCACATGCTGCAAAAACGCGCGCTCGCACGTTGACCTGCGGCCACTCGTCCTCCCCGTTGACGGCCCCGCTTTCCCGGCGTCTCCGCGACCCGCTCGATCCTCTCGCAAGCACTGATCAGTCACGGCTCATCACGATTCAAAAAAAAAAAGCCATGGCTTATCTACCATATATATACTTCCTTAATGCTGTATACCAAAACAGCAAACTCCCGCTTCCACGTCACACACAATTTCTGTCCATCCGATCAGCTCGCCTCTTCGCTACTCCAACCGTCCGATCAGCATGCCCATTTGACCTCTCCATCACCCTCCTCTCGATCCTTCCCAGAAACACATGCGTGGCCCCGCTCGGCCCTTCCCAGACCTTCGCGACCCTTCCGCACCGCACCCACCAAAAAAATTCTTCGTCTCCCTCGCCTCGCCCGTCCCGCCTTCTCCTCCCACCTCCCGCGACCGCCACCCCTGTCTCCGACACCGCCACCAGCGAGTCCGCGCTGCCGAGCGTCGTCCGCGCCCTCCTCCTCCCTCCACTCTCCCCGGAGTCGCGCCGCCGCCGGACGCCGAGTCCACGCCGTCGCAGCGATGGCGCAGGTCCGCCCTCTCCGCCTGGCCTTCGCGACGCCCTCCGCCTCTCCCAGCAACGACGCTCCACTCCTCTCTGGCGGCCCGACGTTGCGCCACGACAGCACAGGAGCCCCGGCGCGGCCAAACCCTAGCGGCGCAGCCCGGCTCCGTCACGCCGCCTCCGCTGCCGCCCACCTCGATGCCGCACCTCGACGAACCGCACGGCTTCCCTCCCCACCCCTGCTGCCAAACTCTGCACGCCAACAAACTCTGCAGCATTGTTGGCGGACTCCAGTTAAAGAAGGTACATGAATTCCTGATACGCACATCAGCTGTTTGTCAAAATGTTGTACTAATTCATCTCATCCTAATTTTTTGAGGGTGCCATAAATTTAGGTGTAGGCCATATCAGCGCCAGCAGGAATGCAGTCTTCAGATTTTTCCAGGAACATAATCCTACTAATAATGTAAGTGATGAAACATCTCGGACCCCGGTTGTGACTCTAATCAGACCTCTCCTACATGAAGGTAATGACGGTATGCTCCAACGACAATGGGGGGCTGGCAGTGTGCTCCAACGAATTAACGAAGCTTAATGTGCCATTAACAAAGGGTAAGGCTTCCTGATGCTTAACCAAATGCGATGCTGCACCGGCTTTGGACTAACCTTATATGTTGATCATTGGATTTTCCCGTATTGAACATGTGAACTAAGGACTTCATTTCTTTCCTTCCATGTCTAAATTTTCCACCTTTCAGTACACATTTGGAGCCTTGGCTGCACCATTCTTCGTATGGCAACAGCAAAGCCTCCTTGGAGTAAGTATGAAGGGGTGGGTTATTGACTGAATGGATGCAATTACTTTGACATACTTATCAATTATATGATGCAGATTCTTCCATCCGGTAAAGGCTCCCTTTGAAGGATTTCATACATATGCTGATATATATGTAAATATAACAGATTATTGATTAAAAGTATAAGATAAGACAGGCAGTCGAGTATAAAATTATGAGATGCTTCACAGAGTTTACCACTTGCATGCTTGCCTTCCTGTCGCCATTACCATCAACAAGTGTGCTTGCCCCTTTGATATCCCTGTCAGAAAAGCAAATTTTCATTAATAATTAAAGACACTAAGACTGACATGCAGTTCTACAAAGAGTAAAAGACAACCATATCTTATATATTGATTCTTTGATTCTCCCATCGTGAACATATTAACTAAAGGCTTTAATTCTTTATTTTCATTCCAAAATTGATAGCAATGCTCGCATCCTTTCAGTAGACAATTGAAGTCTTGGCTACACCATTCTACTTATGGCAGCAGCAAAGTCTCCTTGGAGTCAGTATGAAGGGGTGAGTTATTGACCGAATGGATGCGACTACTTTTACATGCTTATCAATTATATAATGCAGATTCTTCCATTCTGCATCTCCTATACAATATGACACACCGATCATATTTCAAGGTATCCTTCATGATTTCTTAATGGTATGATGTCTTTTTTTTTTTGGCCAGGTGAAGACTGCAATTTCATCATACAGAAGCTCCAATGTTGGCATGAACATTTCCCTGCCTGTCTCTCCCTGCTGCAGCCCGCTACGGCAGTGCCATCCCCTCCCCACCCAACCTATTCAGCTGAGTACACCCCTCTCCTCGTCTCTACATCTCTTGTTTTCTGTATGTGTTGTCAGCTTCAAATTTATTTTCAGAGGATCGTGTTTAGCAATTGCATGTTGTACATCATGCCATTTTGTTTGTTTCTGAAGCAATGTAAAGACATAGAATACCCACTGTTATGGTACTCATGAAATTGGGAAAAACTACACCTGCCGACCTACATGCGATTACTTCTGAATTTCAGATTTCATGCCAATAGGTCTGTCTCGGTTGTATAATTATCGCAATGGTGCCGGAAAGACTCTTGGGGCCTTGGTTAAAAAAAATGCATAATTTAGAATTCTAAGATTTGTTATTGTTATTATATATACATGTTTCCATGTCTCTTTTCAAGAATAAAATTTCCTCTAATACATGTTTCTATTCATTAATGCTGCCATATTCTTCTAAATGGGCAGAACTGGTGAGTCCCAGTTGGTGCCTATGTCTCCTCCGCCTACGTTGCTTACCTCCTCATACCATTTCAAGATCACTTACTCCTGAATCTTGAATCTGGATCACTTATAGACTCAATGTACTCAGGTACTGCACTATTTAGACTGTACGTGCTGCTATTTTAGCAAATGGAAGTACCTTAGTCTGTGAAGCTTTTGGAAGACTCGAAGTGGATGTCTCAGTGGCTACGACACTGAATACTTAGAGTGAACGTCTTTGTATAGGCTGTAGCATGCCAGTCTATCCATCTCTGCCTAAGGTGTGCTTAATACATGTTTGCTATATGCTTATCTCTAAACGTTTGCCATACCTTAAAATGACAACGCTTCCCAGGGAGAGATATTTTCCTTCTATGAAACTTGTCAAAATTACAATTGAATGATACCAGATGAGAAAGGTCTTATCATGAGAAAAGTAGACAATGTGATCGAATCTCACGGGTGCCGGTATTTATGCCTAAAGTTTTCATATATATTGTTATAGTGTCACAAACACCAAATATCTAGTACAAAATCCTGTGCTCAACCAGTCACTACCTTTGCTTGACCCGTGGCAACGCCCGGGGTACTGGCTAGTCATGATTCATGAGTAGCGACCTCACGGCCGGGAAGCCGCCGTGGGCCGGCCCAGGACAGAGGGCACAGGGCCGAGCTTTCAGCGTTGGCTCGCCAAGCAAGGGGCCGGGGTCGCTGCTCCTGCTCGTTGCAGGACCAGATGTCTGTTCTTCAGGGTTCAGACTTGCGTGCCTGCTTACGTTGGTGCAACCAAAGGAACAACATAAAAAATCTGAGAAAAACAAAAGCAAGTTTGCAAGGCCGCGACGGTATCATTGCGCCATCACAGCTTTATGGAGTTGCTACTATATATCCCCGAGCATCGCCAAGCATGCCTAGATGCAGCATGTCTAGATGCCTGCCGTGGTAGGACGTTGTCTAGCGAAGAATATTTGCTTTCTAGCTTGGTCAAACAGCATTGTCAATCTTATCAGGGTAACATCATTTTCCCTGGATTATGATCAAGGAGAAAAATGCTGCCATTTTAATTTGTTTATTATGGCAAGGGAAAAACGTAAGTATGCGAATTTGTGTAGTGGTAACCATGGTAGTAAAGCTTAAGCGAGCAGGTCCCCAGGCGAGAAAGAGAGAGCATATTCTCTGCAGTAAAAGGGTCATGGCCAGTGTGTTTTTTCACAGAGCATTCAGCGCCGGATGAAATGGATGGCCCTGGCAATGCGGGCGTGACCGTGGGGTAAAAGCTGTCACACGTGAAGAACGCAGGTCAGGAGTAAAGGCGTTTTTTGGTTCCTTTTGCTAAAGGGAGGCGGGAGCGGGAGCGGGAGCGGGAGCCATCCTGCTGTTGCAATGCCCACTTTTGCAGGGACGGAAGCACAAGCATTGATGCCTCATGCCAAGCCGACGAGTACCAAGCAGTGCAACCTGCTACACCGGTCCAGTACCGTATCGGGGGCCTATAGCTATCCAATCTGATGTTCTTTTCTCCTCACATAGTAGTACTTCTAATTCTCCAAAATTCTAGATAGATTATTCTCTGAGCTTTGCCATAAAGCAATGCATGTCATTTCATCTAACAAAACTACAAAAGTTTAGATTATTATTCTGTGAAATCATTCGTTTTTTGGTCTCTTCTTTCTCGAGAACAAATCCTGGGACATTGGACCGTTATACTTACAAATAGCTAGTTTGTTCTTTATAAAAAGATCGATTCCGGAAGGGAAAAAACAACAACATGGGACGGCTTGGAAGAGTGGTCAACAAGGTCTAACATACACACATCTATATGGATGTATAGGCAACAAGATCTAATGATGATTGTATAACTTTAAGAGTAAAATCATGGGTAGTAAATTACATTTTTAGGTCCTTGAAATGTCCTAGAATATCATCCAGCAGGTCCCAAACATTCAAAATGCCAATTTTGGGCCTTGAGTTACTTTGTGCCTTGATGTATCAAGTCACGTTGGATGCCCCATGACTCGACTTTGACCAGTGAGTCCACATGCGGGTTGGGGTAGAGCCCACATGTAGATCTCGCCGAGAATCTGGATTCCAGGACGGCATCGTTATTACCTTCATTATCCTCCACCTTGAAAGCTATGACATCCCTAGTTGTGGAGGTAGCGAGCCTGAAACTAGTGCTCCCTAGGCGAAAGAGGAAGGTGGATGACTACTTTGCTCAGGAGTTCCTGCCCAAGTCAAGAATGACTCATGTATTAGACCACCTCCAAGCATATCTCGCAATCAAGAACCTTCCAGCCAGGTCTTGCTCTATCGTCGTGAGTGGGGTCTTGTAAGTTCACACGTTCTATCCAAGTGACATTTTACAATGAATCAACTCTAGTAGTCACATATGAACTATGACTCGGCGATGATCTCCCACGATGGTTTGACGGGGAAGTCCATGTTGTCGACCTACTCGATCGGAGTAGGAGGAGAGAGTGGTAGCGGGTCTCATAGACATGGAGCGTAGAGGCTGATATGTGGTCCTACCTTTGCGTGGGACCCATTGGTCAAGATCACAACCATTAGAAATCTACCATGGTATACAATTAGCAATGTCGAGGAACATAGAAGATTAGGACACTAGTCCCGAATGACACCATATGTCATGTTTGGGGACCTGGAAGACATGTTGGGACAAGTCTACAATTTGAAATTGGTCTATTTGAGAGTTTTGGGACCTGGATGATATACATGACAAGTTTGGTAACTTAAAAATGCAATTTGAGAGTTTGCAGACCTAAATATCAGGTCATAATAAGTTTAGAGACCGCTCATGTATTGTACTCTAAATTCACTGCGATGTGTGATGTACTCCCTCCATTCCAAATTATCAATCAATTTGGATTTTCTAGATGCATAGTTGTTTACTCACTCATTTTAAACTGTAAGTCGTTCTACCCTTTCTAGGTAATACATAACTTTTTTGCTATGCAACTATATATATATATGCTATGTTTTAGGTCCCTCCGTGCCAAATTTTATGTTGAGGGAAACCCTGCTATGGTGGGATCAGTTTAGTGCTTAAGTCACCGGAATCCTCGAGCATATAGCCGACCGACGGTGGTGTAGTGTGGGGAGGCAAAGAAGTGCAATGGATGGCAATTGGCAACAACATGCAAGGAAGTGTTGTCAAAAAAAAAAACACATGCAAGGAAGAGATGTAATGAAGCCCTTGCTTTCTCAAGATGACAAATTGGAGTGGAATCTCGTAGACACTTGAGTCTTTGACGTGCATGATCTCATTCATACCTTTTACGAGGCCAAAGTTGCAAGTTGTAGCACCCTAAAAACCAAGCGGGTGCGTGGTTGCATTCCATGCAGTAATATAATCGCCACACGACCCGATCGACAAGGCCGGTCTACATACGAATTAGCTTAGCTAGCTCTACATACACAAACTCCAGCTAGCTGCGTGCTGCCTGTGCATGGCATGCACGAGTGGTGGAGCTAGATGCCAGCAGCTCCAAAGCCGCCACCACCTCTGATCGAGTCACAGGCCACCGCGGGGCCGGCGTGTCCCTCGCCGCCGCCCCTGGAGACGGCCACGGAGAGCGAGCTCTGGCCGCACGCGTGGCAGGTGACCTGCGCGAGCAGGCGCGCGGCGTGGTCCCGCAGCGCGCACGCCTTCTCGAGGTCGGCCCGGGCGCGCTGCCTGGCGCGGCGGGCCTCGTCCAGCGCGCGCTCCGCCGCCGCGGCCTCCCCGCGCGCCCGCTCCCGCGCCGCGTCCGCCACGGCCTTCTCCTCCATCGCGCGCCGCAGCTCCTCCGCCTCGGAGTGGTCCTC